TCAAATTTTGGCAGACTTTTGATACAATTCTAGATGATTTTAATCACTGTAGAGGGGGCCCTTGTTTTCTAATAATTGAAAAAAGACCTATGGGGCGTTTATGGGGGCAGGGGTGGTTAATAGGGATCATACGGTATGTGTATTACCGACTGGAAAAGTACACACATGTTTTTTATATATTCTTTTAGTCCATGAATCCAGCCAAAACATCTTATCTTTAGTGACCTTGAACTTGAGTCAAGGTCATGTCCCACCCTGCATTATACATGTATCAACCATGTTTCACAGGTACAAATACTGTAGCGAATTTACAGTTTCTCTGTCAGTAACCTTGACTTGTCTGAATGAATGGGTATGTTCAGCCTTATTTTTTCTGAGCATATACAGTATCAAATTGGAAGAATTTATTAGATTCAACACTATGATCTAGCTAAGGATTTAACCATCGTCGCAAACCACGGCCAAAATGTACGATCCTCTCCCACTCTGGGGAGAGAGCTATATGCGGACTCCGGACCATGGCTTGAGACGATGGGATTTAACTAGAAATATGTCTATAGGACATGAATGCATCACCAAGTGTATATTAGTAAATAATGCAACATTAAAATCTGTATTAATGTATGACGTTTGTTGAGAATATCTTGAATAGTTTCTTAAAAATTGAAATCTTAAAAAATGGATATAGATTATAAAATCCCCTTCAAATAATGCGTAAGCTTACATAAAAATATCTCAAATGGTTTCTTTAATACTAAGGAAAATGCAAATTAAAGACAAGTGAGGTAAAGGTCACAGGAAAGTGCAAGGTTAAAGTGTATCAGCATACTAAAGTTTGATAAAAATGTCTTGAATTAATTCTTCAAATCTGAGCACCGCCCGCGTGTGGCACAGGGGTTAGATCATCTGTTCTAGACTAAGGTTTGGATATATCTCACAAAAGTGTGCATATATTTTGGCCACTTTTGTACATGTAAAAATGAATACATGTATATAATTAAACTTGCATGTACAAGCATATTCCCGTAAAATTGACTTGTGCAATTGAAATATTCTTTTCGGGTTTTTCCCTTGAGTTGGAAATGTCACTTACTGGTACACTTACAATTATTTCCATTTATAACTATCGGAGTACACGATGTATTTTTAACACCGACATGCCCGCGGCTCTCTGCGGCCACGCACGTGTGAACGAGGACTCAGGTGCAAAACTTTTTGACACAAGGCAACAGAGGTGGATGTAAACTGTAATGACATAACTGAGGGCATTGTGGCATCGCACTTTGAAAAAAATGCATAGAAAAAATTCTAGACTTATAGATTTTAATAATTTAAATTGAAAAAGGATACACCCCCAAGGTAAGCCCCAATTTTTAATGCCTATATAATGTATTTGCAAAACATACGTGTCGCACTTTGAAAAGAAATTTTATTTTTTTAAAGTGCGTTGATTTGGTCCCAAATTTAACGCACTTTGAAAATATATTTCAAAGTGCGTAATTTATCAAAGTGCGTCGTAACAGGGCATACATAATGAAATTCGATTATTTGTGGACGATACATCACTGTTTGCAATAGTGGACACTAATATTAATACTCCTACATGATCTCTTAATTACAACCGATCTTGATAAAATAAAGAAATGGTCACAAATCTGATTTTTATTAGATTTTAGGTATAGGCGAATGTGTGTGGATACGTGGAAGGGATAGTGTAAATTAACTCATTCAAGATTTGCTTAAATTGTTCGTTGGGGCGAAGGCTTAGAAAAAGTGACACACTGTGTGTACAGGTACACACCAGTAAATGTTATCATTAAAATAAAATTCGACGGACATTAATTTACTGGTACATGTATTTTTGTTATCTGAAGACAACGTAATCTTCAGAGAATGAGGCATTATATATATTTTCTGTTTTTCATACCCCAGATTTCCTTTCTTTTGATTTACCGTTTACACAGGCCTGTATTTTAACAGCTGTTCATAAATACTGTCAATTAATATATGATAGGAGAAAACGATACATCTCTCGGTAATTTATTTTTTAGGGGGAAAATATAGGTGAAAATATATAGATTGACACCTTAGTATTTACCTGTGTAATTACGAGGTTACAAACCGTGACGATGACTGGACAGGATGGACTACCTGTCATAAAAACAACTCATAATCAACTCTGCGGACCTATAATTAGTTCACTCTAATGTCTGTATTTTAAACGCAGATTAGGCTCTACATGCGTATATTTGGGCACTCTTGCATATGCATTATACTTTAATTATAAAACGTGCATGTTCTGTACTTGCATGCATGTACATTATATGTCTCCCTGAAACCTTGATGAAGCATTAAGAGAGCTGATAAGAAAAAATAAACGGAAAACTGCTCGCAAAAAATTACAAGTTTAATAGAAAATAATTATTGTCCAATGGAATAAGTTACGCATGTGTGTCTCAATCTACATACTTTGGAGGCGCGTGTGAATGTAGGATTTTCTATAGATGTATTCTGATAAAACGCTCGATATTTGTATATTTTGGACGTATACAGTTGTACATTTTAAGAATGACGACAAAAGGACGTATATTGACTTACATACATGTACATTTAACTTAAGATTCAAAAAATCTATCACTATAGTAGAAATTAATCAAAGGAGCATATTTTCGATGGTATTTGAAGTGAAACAGATCATGATTCATCATATTAATTAAATTTATCCATTCTGTGGTTTCTTTTGTGTATTTGACTGGGGGTCGCTGGATAACACGCCGATTGATTCCCGGTGACCGACTTTGCCCAGCGTTATCGAGGGAGGCGCGTTATATAATCGTAAACAAACAAGGTGAATGTAAAAGGCGTGCACTTAATGGCTGTGAATAGTATATGCTTTACAGTTATGTTTTATATTCTCACTATATTGTTTGTTTTTATATGATAAGCAGAAAAGATTATCTTTTCTTCCATTTTCAGTAGACTTGATTTATACGATTTAAAAAAAATGAAATAAAAGGGAAAATTGTCAGTGAATAATATTGATAATTTGGGGGAAAACACAAAACACTTCAAGAACCTTATTCTAAAAAAATATTAGCATCCAATGTAGCCATGTTTATCATTTAAAGTAAGTTTGTTTTGGTTTACACGCATGAGGAGCTCGCGTTTACGTCCTGAGTGAAAAGAATTACCTGTACATATATGGGTCATGTATTTAGCTCATTTAAAACAAGACTCGAACAAAACAATTTCATGAGATAATAAGATGTTAAAGCAAACCTTCATAATCGACAGTCATTCCGAAATATTTACCGTTTTTGAGTTATAAAGCAAAAACTTTTAAGCTCCCTAAATCCTTAATCATAGGGGCCAGCCCCTTTCGAATAGTATTATATGAAAGCCCTTGCAATTATGCACAACTTTTGTTCAACATGTCTTAACAAAATATTTTTAGTTTTCAAGATAAAAAGGAAAATATGTGTTATTTTCGCTCTTTTAGGCGTTCTAATTTTTGACCCCTATATAGCGCCATTTTGAATACAGAAATAGAAAAACAAAAACCGATGTGCACAACTTCAATCCTTCTGTTACCTAAAATCAGTAAAATTTCTGCTCCAGCTTTTGTGGTCTCCGAGCCTTTGTCTGGAAATGAAAGCCTATAAATTTTCGTTTAAAGGGAAATAACTCAAAACCGGAAGTGACTTTTTGAAATTTTAGACAGCATTCTGATAGAGTTTATTATCGTCTATAATGACTGAAAATTTGAGCAAAATCCATCCAGAAATGAGTGAGATATGAGGCCTCAAAGTTGGCGTCTAGGAAGAAAAAAAAAAGAATAATAAGAATAATCTTAATCATCAGAATCAGTAGAAGGTCTTCCGTTGGAAACGGAAGACCTTAATTAAAATTAAAAAGAAAGACATTGTATTAGAAAATAAAACATGTTAATGTGAAGGTGAAAACGATATTTTTTCTTGATCTCTTGTATAAAGTTCACGTGCTCAAAGTTAACTCTCGTCATCGAATGCTTTTCGGTCATTTGACAATTTGAGAAAAATGCCTGCACATTTATATAAAAGAGGGAAATACATTAAAGAAAATTAATTAATTAAATTAACTTAATTTGGGAACAGAACATAAACGATGAGAAATAAAGAAGAATAGAACTTTTTCTTGATATCTTGGATAAAGAAAATTTAAGTTCACGTGCCCTCTACATGTAACTGCAAATGCTCGTCATCGGATGTTTTCCGGTAATTTGACACTTTAAGAAAAAACTTGTACATTTTATATACAATAAATTGAAATTAATTAATAAACAATATGAAGATGTACATTTTTAAAAAGATGTACATCTTTTTTTTTCAAATGAATGCTGAAAATCGTTCATCGAAACTTAAACAGTCCGGGTTCAACATTTATTACAGTTTGCATATAGTATGAAGATTAAAAAAAAATAATTAAAATTTCTAGTATTTAATTTTGTTTCTTGATAGATTCTTAATAGCATAAAATAATTAACCAATTGCGAAGACGTAACAATTTAATAAAATTTTCTATTCAATTTCAAAGATTTATATGTAATTTTAGAAACAAAAATAAACTTATTTTTTCTTAGTTTAAATTCTATTCATAGCAAAATTTATTAATAAACACACAGTTTTTTTGTTTGTTTTTTGTCTTTTTTTTTGTTTTGTTTGTTTGTTATGTTTGTTTGTTTTTTTTTTGTTACAGGAAAAATTCGCAAATTACAATTCGGGGAGATAACTCCCATTTGTTTACGATACTAATTGTCAGTAATTGATCGATGATTTAACCGCGGCGGGGACAGGTAAGTGATGAATTTCCCGCGGAGGGGACGCGGTTTACCTGTCTACCTGGCCAAATACCGCGTTGTGATTATACCGCGGCGGGGACGCGAGAAATACGGGATCCGCGTTGCCTGTACTGTACTATTTTGCAGCATGATAATGTGAGAATTTTTTCACCCATTCTTCTTGTTCTTTATTATTAAAGTATCTGCTGAAAATAGAACAGAATGTGATTAAATCTTTTGAGAATTAAAAAAAAACAAAAATCACTGATGCACGATTTTCAATTATATTGACCCTTTCATCTCTCTCTCTCTCTCTTTCTCTCTCTCTCTCTCTAACTATATATATATATATATATATATAACTTTACACAGGATTCTTTTATACATTGATATACCTGTACCTGTAGATATTGGAGTAATTGGACATGCTTAATATTATTTATTTATTTATTCCAATCAGCATGATCAGGATGATAATAATTAAATAATAATGTTGCATATTAAATATGTTATAATTTTATCCTTACATTTACATATACAATACTCACAACAGGCAAACCTTGAACTTGCACATCACTGTCTTAAGAGTATATCCTACAATACACATTCGATCATTGCACATTACAAATGAATTGATTTGATTTTCTTTTTTAAAAGTTTATATTTGCCTTTTTTGTTTTATTTTAATGAAATTATAATTTTTGTGCAATTAATACAGTATCATCACTGATTTTAGTTTTATCTGGGATAGTACATGGTAGGGGGCACTCTGTCTTTTGGGTCAGTTCTATGTACATGTATAAAAAAATATAGGGCTACAAATGTAGTAACTTGACAGGCTTGTTTCAAAGTTCTGTCATTTCGGAATCCTGTTTTGTTTAGATTAATTATTTGTCCAGCTGTGCATCACATTAAATAAACAAAATATAACTATTACATTTATCATGATTATTAATATTATTATGGTTTTGGGTCAGTCTATTTTTATTAAATCTAGTAGCCTGGGAGTGGGATAGTGATATTATGATGATCTGACCAGTAAAAAGCCTGAGTGAGCAGTGAAAGAAAACTATTTCTAGCCTGGGTCTACAATGATTTCACATTTGTACTTCATTATATACATTTTCTAAATTCAATAATGTTTGTTTATTTAACCTTATAGGGTCAATTGTGTAATTTTTGTCATACCTGGAGATGGCTGTTCAAAATGTACTCTACAGCTGTACCTGCAATAGACAAACAATAAAGAAAATTACTTTTCATTTTAACAATATGTAAATTAAAAACATGTATTCTTACAAACAAAAACGCAAAACATCAATGTAAATTATCTTTAGCAATATCTTTTCATTACACAGATTGATGCAGGCATGCATGTAATTTATTATACCCCCCGCTTGAAAAGCGGGAGGGTATTATTAGTTACATAGTCTTTTAGTGACAGGGTATGGGATGATACCTGGTTAGTAAATTTCATACCTGGCGAGGCGGAGCCGAGTCGGGTATGAAATTTACTAACCAGGTATCATCCCATACCCTGTCACTAAAAGACTATGTAACGAATTTACCCCACCGATGTAACATTTACGTTTTATCTGTAGTTTTTAAATGGTTTTCTCTGCTAAACCCTTCATCGCGCTTATACTGTGCCCATTATGACGTCACGTTTGTGTTTGTGACGTAATACATCGACCGGGTATAGATTACAACTGACCGGGTATGGATTTACAACTGACCGGGTATAAGAAATCCACCGCCTTCACGTGACAGACTTCAACCAATCGTAAGCCAGGATTTCACGGAAAAATCGACAGAGGTGGGGTAAATTAAGTAATCGGTATGTTTGTCCGTCTGTTATGCTTTGGTGTACCCATCTCTTATCCGCTAATTCCTTTAACACATTATACAATGCACTCAGTGATATTTGATGACTTTCACAGAATCTAATTATTACATATTGCAATTGTGCATATTCTATTTTACTTTTTGATCCGCCACATATTTGGGGTTTCCCAGGCAATACTTTACACATAGAAATATTCAAATTTTTCATAAACTGCATATGTGATTGATTGACTGACAAATGTATGTTGTTTAGAATGGCCCTCTCGAGAATTTTTCACTCATTTGGAGACACCACCACTTGCCGGTGGAGGACTACAAATTTTGGGTGAGGGCCCGACCTTTGAGCAGGGAGGAATCTTTTTTGTGCCAGCACCTACAGCGACATGGGGTCTCGGTTTATACGGTCTCATCCAAGGACCAGTCTCCACGTCCCACAGTGGCCCGGGATTCGAATTAGCGACATAAGGATTGACTACTTACTCCCCGACTCTAGAGCAGATGCTCTAATCACTGCGCCACATGGGCGACAACTGCATATGTTAAGTTTCATACCTGATATACACAAGTATGTGAGAATTGCATTGACATCATCTGATCATAAATTCTATGACATTAAATTAGAAAAGTAACTACTATATTTTGATCAGAAGGCTCTAGTGAAAACTGCATGATTGATATAAACAGCTGACACTATGAAAACTGCAAACAAATGTAAACAAACCTTGAATCCTTTATCCAGGTACACATGTATATGTGTAGAGGAAATTCGGAAGGACTTCTTGTGCATACACATGAGTACGGATAGAATTAATTTAGTCTCTTGGTATTTGAAAAAAACACATATGGTTCTCACAAATCACTGGGTATTGATAAGTAAAAATAATGACTTTTATACGCGTATGCATGCATAGTAGACTAGCTTACAAGTAGGAACGAACTATAGCACACCTGCATTTTCTCTTCAATTTTAGACATGCTATTAACAGCATTTGACAAACATGCCCTAAAATATTTAACCATTTTGTGCTAGAGGTAATCGAAAAAATAAATGAAATTCTACTTACGAGTGTTTTTGTTCACTAAATCAATGTATGTGGGTTAATCTTAACCATCACAACTACTCCCTTGCACGTGGAAACATGTTTACAAAATCGAGAGGTGCTGTTTTGACACTTTTAAGTGCAATAGCACTTGACAGAATAAGAAACTGCAAACCTCCTTTCACTTTTCAGGTAAAGAAACGTTTGTTTTTCAACTTTTTGCAATTTACAAATTTTATAAATCGAGATAACATAAAGTTTTTCCTCTTTTTCCATGTTGAATTTCTCTCTCGATTTTCACCTGTAGCATGTTGGTCTCGCTGAATTCTCGCGAGGAAAGCTGTTCGGACGTTTACGGATTTTGTTCATATTTTATTACGTTTATCTCCGAATTCTTCCGATTTATGCTAATGAGGTTAGGAGGTGTGAATAAACAAACTAATTATCAAACCAATACTGCAGTTTTATCACAGAAATGGGCCTACACGTAAGTGTCAAGAATTATACAAAGCTATAGCTAAGCTAAGTTACATCTCCATCTGAGTCATAAATTCTAGAATGGGATATTAACAACATATAATCAAAAAGTTTATTTCATTGTGACTTCATATTAATAATTTAGAATTAAGAAACAGATAGTAACAAACACACAGTGTGAAACCTTGCACATTTTAACAGCGCGACTCACAAAAATACAGCTATTATGTAGCACTACGTGACATCATATTATAACTAAATATTAGGTATTTGCCCAGAGTGATGATAATGCAGGAAGGATTGATTCTGCAAACCACCAGACATAGCCACTTAAATATTATTATGATAATGTTATCTGTCAGAGGAGAAAAAATATATACTCAACATGTTCAGTATATAGTTTTTTTGTAGTGACCAGGTGGATTCGACCAGGTAAGAGATGGTAACTGATTTGTAAATTGTATACATGGCTTGACTTTGTCTTCCCGGGTGTAAAATAAACTGATCATGACCAGCAACCAATTCTGAACGTGGTCCCCCAAAAATAATGTAATAAACAATATAACACTAACCGCAGGGAATACATGTCCGAAGTTCACTATTTTAAGAAAAGCAAACATTATTTTATTCTCATCACTGCAGCTAAACTGCACCATGAAGTAGGTGCCTAATTCATTTTTAATTCTTTGTGAAATAAGATGTAATTTTAAAATTATTCAAAAGCCTTTACAAGCTATTACAGTAAAGATTTGATGATGTCATAAATGGGTTTACAGTCCTGACCAGAAATAAAACAACAAATTATTAATGTAAACATAATAACCTTGTAGGCTTTTTAATATCAATTTCTGTATATTTTTATAAATTTGTTTAGATAAAGAAAAATCTTATCTTCTTTACTAACGTTCATACTCCATAGAAAAACTGATCAATAATATCGTTCATACTCCACAGCAAAGCCGAAGACACAAATACCACTGTCAACTCTGTTCTTACTCGATGAACGAACGATGGAAAGGCGCTGTCTGAATTTCCTCGCGATCGCACACAAAATCTTCAGTTTAAAACTTGGAATTAATTAAAACATCCTTACAAGCTCCATATATACGTAATCAGGATAGCTTATATGCACATATTCCTTGCTGTATAATTACTGAATAATGTCTACATACGCAATCAATATCAAAATACAGATTACATTTGCAGAATTCCTTGTAACATATTGGTTCCTTTCCCGTGCATGTATATGATCTATCTTTAGCTACACAGTCATAGACAATTTGTACCTGTATTTCATGAAATACATTTGGTAAAATAGCTCTAAATTAAGCACGATTTTCTTTTCTTTTCATGGCAAATAAAAAAAAAAATTTAGTATGTTTAGTATGTAAGGGAATATAAGATTAATAGTTTGCATTTAACATGTTAACATTTTTTTTTCTTATTTCAGAAAAGACGTTTATGACCCCCTGACCCTTAAATATAGGAGCCAGCCCCATTTTTTAATTTCTTCTAAAAGCCCTCATTATTCTACACAACTTTTCTTTTATATGTCTTTACAAAATATTTTCAGTTTTGAAAGTTATTAAAGAAAAATCAACAAAATTTAATAAAAGATAAATTCTTAAAATTTGCCGTCGAATAAAAATCAAATTATGAAGAATTAGCAAATAATATTTATGTCTTGCACAACTACATGTATAATACGTTAGCTACATTTTCTTAAAATGTTCATTTAACTATCTTTGGTAGTTTCTGAGAAATCAGGCAGACAAAAGACCCTCGAAATATCAATCAAGGGGCGATAACTCATGAACGGGGGCATAAAAGAAAAAAAATTGAAAAAACTGTTTAGGCCTTGAAATAAGATATCTATTCTGAAAGTTTCATAACAATCGAGCAAAAAATGTCCGAGAAATTGACTGACAAAAATTTCGTGGGAAAAAAAATTACAGTGGCGGAACAATAGAATAACAGTAGGGTCTTACGAAGCGAAAGCTCGGAAGACCCTACGCAGCACTGTTAAGGCCTACTATGAGAAATCAAGGGAAAACAGACGTGCAAAAAAGGGGGATTTTTTAAAAAAGGATATGGAAATAACGAACAGTATTCAATCTCAACGTCCATTAAACAAATGTACAAAATAAGAGCAGAGCAAAGACGGACCTCCGAAACATCAGAGGTGGGATCAGGTGCCATTAAAACTGAATTTATTTTAATTAAACTGTTTTATTATCACAGAACTTAAATACTTATGGAAATGGCATTGTATAACCCACTCTATACTGTATGAAGTTTGGTCCCATCGATGGACAGTCACGTGATGAATGCTTAGTTCGTGTACTGAATGTAGGTCATGAACAAATTTCAATATTGCAAGGGCATACCCTATTTGAAATAAACAATTCAAACTATTAATTGTTTCTCCGCACTTTGTAGTTTCTGAAAAGTGCTGCTGATTTGAATAGGATTTGCGTTTTAATAGTTAAATTTACTGGTAAATAAGCCAATGTCGAAATATGTTTGCTTTTTACAAATTATTTTGTGTAATAACAAAATCACGCCCTCGATTTAAAGAAAGCAGCAGCACTTTTCAAGTTAAGGAAAATATCTTTTATCTATATTCAAAAACTGGTTAAGATCTATAAAGTGTATGCCCTTGCGAAAGTACGATTTTATGAGGCATCTCATTGTAAAAAGTACGTAACCTGTACATAAAAACACGACACAATTAATAAAATACATTCTCTTAATAGTTAATAAATAATCGCACTACACAAGGAAATATGAATTTGTATTAATCAACTATTTAAAACCTATAAATAATATTCCGTTTAATAATAAAACGCATTTTTCATTGTTAAAAAATTCCTCAATCTGCATCTCACAGCACATGAAATACGTCATTTTTACCAAGATGACGTCATGTTGACAAGTTCATCGCTATCAGTGCTTTGTTTATAACCAGCTACATGGAATTTAACTAGCAAATTTTATTAATGCATTGATAAGTATTTATGTTGTTTATTATGCTAATACAGTTAAAAGTTGCACACTATTTCATTTTCAGGCATTATGAGAAATACATAAAAGTCATATTTTAATGTGACATCACAGTAAACTTTTCCGTATAAATTAGGCCCCGCCCCCATTTTCAAGCCTTAACAATGCTGCGTAATAGTTAATAAGAAACAGTAGAATCACTTTAAGGTCTTCCTTAAAGACGGAAGACTTTAACTAGAAAAGAAATTACAGTTACTTATTATCCATTATCAAATGAGTCTCTTTTTAGATTAATAACATCAAAGAAAAATGTTGAAAAACAAAAAAATTGAAAAAATTCATTTTTGAATACGCTTCTGGTAGCAACCGGAAGTACTGATGACGCACAAAAAGGCAATTCCATATATTTGAAAGTCATCATATATCATCTCTAATAAGTCTCCAGTTAATATCTTAAGCAATTTTCGAAAAAGGGGGGACAAAAATCCATTTAAAAATCAGAAAACTGTCAATATCTTGTAACCGAAGGTAAGTGTTCCATTTTTTTTTTCTTCTGATGAACAAAGTTCATATAATGAACGCATTTTTCCTAAAATTTTCATTGAAATCCTTTAAATAGTTTTCGAGAAATCGCCTGCACAATTTTGAGAAAAATAAGAAGAAGAAAAAACAGGAAAATCGCTATAAGGTCTTCTGTGAAGACAGAAGACCTCAATAATAAGAAAGAGTAGAATTACTATAAGGTCTTCCGTGAAGACAAAGGACTTTAATAAGAAACATTAGAATCACTATAGGGTCTCTTGTGAAGACGTAAGACCTTAATAAGTAACCGAGTAAAAACAATATGTTCCCCAACTTGGTTTGGGTAACATAATTAAAGCAGACATGATGTTTATAATATTGATGTGATGACTTGATTATTTATAATTACGATTATTTAGCGGTACATTGCGAGTTGTATTATACAGTTATGGAATCGGTATGAAGGAAAAAGCAAATTTATGGTTCCCCGATGGAGGAAATGGTTTCCTTCTGAGGGGAACCATAAATTTGATATTTCTCGAGTACCCATTCCATAATTTGTTTATGATACCGAAACAACCACAGGCGATTTATTAGACCGGATATTCAGACATTTAAAAAAAATGATAAAGAGGCATTTAAAATAATAACAATTGCATGTGATTCAAAAGATTGTAAGATAACTAATACATCATTGCCAAGGACAGCAAAAATTATCTTTTAAAAATAATTTCACTGACATTACGAAAAATCATCGTTGTCTTCACTTTATTAGATATTCAAGTATGATTTTGACATCGCAAGTCGAAATGCTTTGACGTCAAAGTTACACTGCTAATAACATTACGTCACAGACTCGAGATTTCTTGAACGCTCCGCCCACTTTCCATTTTGATTGGTTAAAATTGCAAAATAGATATTCATGAGGGAGTAGTCCCAGGGAGTAGCTCTGATTTTTCAGGGAGTACTGTTAACCAACTTTTATTCGCGATTTACTGGAGTAAAACTAGTTCGCGATGATAATTTTTCGCGATCAAGCCTTTTTAAAACCAGTTTTTAATAGACACAGGAACTTTTTAAAAGGACTGGTTCGCGGCGAGAAATATTCGCGTTGATGATGCTCTCGCGAACTTCGAGAAAATTTCTAGAACGCGAATAAAAGTTGGTTTACAGTAGTCCTCAGATATGAAAATAGTCTCTTCTCAGGGAAATAGACAGTTTTATGGTATTGGTTTTATATAGAATGGAGTAATAACAGTAGAGGTATGATAATATATTTTAATAGATCTAGCAACACATGTCTCATGCATGTGTTAATGATAGTGTAAAAATGAATACATTAAAAAAAACTAAGTCCACACAATATCACTATCGTGCTGTTCTTTATCAGACGCCCCCCCCCCCAACATATTGTGACACAC